CCGCTCCGGTGAAATTGAAAAGTTTGTGTGTTGTTGTAACGAAGACCTTGGCGTTTGAGCACTATAGACCATCTTACAGGAGGTTTAGATGTGTAGCGAGGTGAAGGCCAGCCTTGGTGACCGCTTCTTCATTGACTCATTGCCTTCCACGGCGACGACGAGCACAAGAACAAGTACTGCCCTCTTCTTCAAAAGTTGTTAATTTGAATGGGAATCTGAATTATGATGCTTCCAAAATTACACTCGAAAATGGCCGCAGTTCCCCTTCCGCAGTGTGTGTATCGTGATGTCGGATAGTGAAGTAGTACGCGGTGCCTGTGCGTCGGGATATGACAGTGTTGGCGCGCAAAAATGTGTTTACGAAGTCACTAGGGAAAGGTTTGTATAAGAGTTTATTCCGTATCAAACAATCTGGCGGAGGAGGTTCCGCCAGAATTTGAGTCTGGGCCAGGGTCCTAGATTCCTAGTCGTAGTGGTTATGCACTTATTCCTGAGTTTGAGATCTGTGACGACTGTTTGAGATGCGGGAATCGGTCCAATACAGGGTTTAATTTACAGCTGTGCCACTCAACGTAAGATGAATTCTGCGACGATATAAAAACATGATTTGATTGGTTAAAAACAACAAGTCTGTACAGTAAACGCTGCTGTTATTAGTTTCTAAGCTTACAGTATTCCTTTGCTTCTTCGTTGGCTTCGTCTTGGCCGGCTTGTCGGACAAGTCTCAGCACAGTTGTAAGTTAAAGTTGCTCAGATCTACGCTTACGCTTGCTCGGTTTTAAGCGCAGCGTTTTCTATCCGATTTTACACAGGTCAATGGCGTGTTTCTCGTCGTTGACTTCTGGCATTGGCGAGCCGAGCTTGTCCTCGATGCCATGTATAATATGGCGCATCATAATTGACCATTCTGACAAAACGGCTTTTTACTGTAGTGTGCCCAGGTCATCTGGTGATATTCCTTAATATGATGGATAATTGAGATTAGGATTCCCAAACCACCATAGCATCCATGCCCCCAATGGGTCGATACTGGGGTAATTGAAATCTCTAGGAAATACGTGAAATTCTCCACCCCGTAGATGGTACTGACGAGAAGGTGCTGGTCGGGTCTGCAATGTAGGGCTTACCATACTCCGTTGAAGGCCAACTTCGTTTAGCAAAGAGCGGATCTCCACTCGCAGCATTTCTCTAGTGATATTGCCTGCTGCTACACATTTCTCTTCAAGAACACGCTCCTTTCTTTCTTCTTGGCGGCTAGGAAGTTCTTCAATTGATCATAATTGTCTATCAAACTTGTAGAGTTCAAAATAAGGCGGAAT